TTACATTTCATACACATTTCAAACACAATGTTTATGAAGAAAATGATATAAATTATATTCACATTTCACACACACTGCATACACATATTATTCACACACACTCCATATAAAAATTTCTTTCCAACAATAACCCTTAGTTCATATTCCACACACATTTCATACACAATGTTTATAAAGAACATTGTATACATAATATTCACATTTCACACACACTCCATACACATGATATTCACACACAGTTCATACTTTTATCATTCAAAAAAATTCCAGGGGCACCTATACAATACATAGTAGTTAAAAAAAATCATACATTATTTTTGACATTGCGCACACACTGCATACCAATTTTTTTGACGCACACTTCATATACATGTTATTCACAAAACACTTCATACTCTTATTATTCAAAACATACTATGAGTACCTATATACTACAGAGTATTTAAATTATATCATACAATTTGATAACAATGTTAATAGTTAATATGCATGTCAATGTTGTATCATTAATAATAAATTTCAGAAAAATAAAAACTTTGAAAACAACAATAATAATAATGTGATATAACAAATGTTGGGGTTTTGGTAATTCATGTTCATCTTTTTTGTTTTTCTTCTTGAAGAAGGTTTTGATGTTTCAAGAACATCAACATTTGTTGATTTTTTTGTTTTTTCTTTTTTCTTTGAGCAACAAAATCGGAATCTGAGTCTGAATCAGACTCTGGATGGGTTTCAACATGTTTTTTCTCCTTCCTCTTGTTTCCCCTTCGATTTGTCAGAGTCAAACTTTGGTTTGCTTCATTAATTTTGTCTTTTCGATTCTTCGAACGAGATGGACCAACATTGGCAGGAATTTCAACAGATTTCGGAGGGGGAGTTTCAGACGGTATGTTAAAAGGATGGAGCATGAGCATCATCGATTAAGGTTTCATCAAATCTGCGGATCTTTCTTGGAGTTTCCATCGATTTCTTAGACATGATTAATCGATTTGATTTTGGAGTGTTGGTGGGTTTTGGCGGTTTGATTTTGGAGAAGATGAGAAACAATGGAGAGAGAATGATAGTGGGTGGTGGGTTGAGGCGTGTGTGAGTGAAGAAACGTGTGTGGGTGGGGGTGGGGTGTACGATTGGTGAGGGTAACGGTAAACAAGGAAAAGATATTGAGTAAATCCCTAAATTTGGGTAACTGACATTTTTTTTTTTAAAAGGAAGTAAAAAACAAATTAATTACCTATTATTAATTAATATTAAAAACCTATAAATATATTAATGATTTATTAAATAAATATAATTTAACTTTAAAATAAAAATAATTTTAATTGATATGTCATAACCAATAAATATTCTGTTATAATCAAGAAATTTTTAAAAGTAGGTTTAAAACTCGTAATATTTACTCTTAAATGTGTATATGGGGTGATTTCCTTAAGCAAATGCTCTCCTACTTAGTAGTTAGTACTTTAAATTTTTCTTTCATTAATCAAGGTAGACACTTTGTAACTTATCTTATCGCTAAATTTATGAAAATGTACGTACGGTTTGAAAGCAAATATCATAACCTGATGCACTTACCTAATACCAAATGCCATTATGTTAGGGTTGCTCCTTGCAGGTGAAAGGGTATAGCTTGGTGAAAATTAAAGAACTAATGAAATAAAAAATAAAAATCAATCTATAACAAATATACGATATGTATGAGGTTAAGAGTAAATCAACCCCAAAAATCTTTCATGAAGGATTAATGATAAAGACAGTCAAGAAGCAGGTACACTAAAATAAAGAATACTCTAAAAAAAAAATTACAACTTGTACATGTAGTTCACATTTATTTATAAAGATTGTCCCAGAGATTCAAGTTTAGTGAGCAGCAAACACTTGGGGAAAGATCAACTTTAGGGAGAGGCAAACAATTGGGGAGAGTTTCAACCTTTAGAGAAAAGCAAAGACTGCAATTGTTATGCATGAAGAATCCAAAGTTTCAACTTCCACACTAATCTCTTCTACCGCATGCTTAACTCTATCTAATTACAAAATTCAAATTAGATAAGATAATAAAGCCCACATACAGATTAACAGAAAAATAAAATGAAAGTTGGACAAATACTGAATAGAATCCAAAGTTATTGAATAGAATTTGAATAGAATCATACCAATAAGTAATTTTATAAAAAAGTTGATAATTAGACAAAATGTGAAAGATCCTTCAATAGAGAATCCAAATGCAGTTGTATGGTGTATAGTATTTTCGATAAAAATCATTGTTAGTTTGTTACCAACAGAATTTGTATAAAATGAGAACATCATAAGAAACAACTAACTTACCAAAGAAAGAAATAAACAAACAGTTAACCTTTCCAAGCATAACGCAGCAGTCATTAATCATGTAGCGGCTTAGAGAATTCTCTATTGCATCATCTACCACATCATATATATATGACAAAAATTATTAACAAATGAAATGTTAAATCCTCCTCTGCAATACAAAACATAAAAAAAAGATACAAATAGAAAATAAATTCATGGCCATATAATAGTAAGTATTAAATCATACTTGCTTAGCAACTCTAACAGAGACGCCCGAGTTTTGATTGAAGGATGAATGATAATTTATACAGAGGATAGTCTCTGTAAGAAGAACCAATGTGCACTGAAAGAATCAACAAATTATTGTCAGTCATAACAATCAGAATGGGTTAACCTTCATTTGTTTCATTAGCAAAGTCTACCATAAACTCTGATGGAGAGTATGTGTTAAGGGTGTTCGATATGGCAGTTGCAATAATGTATGACATGAGTGTCCACGGAAGGTTTGCAAGCATTGTTAGAATGTAAAGAGTAAGACAAACCTTTCTTGGCAACAATTGATGTTGCTGGATCACAGCGTGCAACGGCGGCATTTGATGTTGAATCTAATAAACAATCATTCCAATTAATATCTGAACTATTTTTGGTAAACTAACGCTGAAACAACATTTTAACGATAACTAACCAAATGTTACATCTTTTTGAATCAGTTTAAGGAATCAAAACAGAATCATTTGAGGGACTTACACAAGGGCTTTGAGGCTATTCCGAAGGACTCTTTCTGTACAAACAATTAACAAAGACCTTGAGGTAATTATAAAGAATTTATAATCAATTATAACTCAAGAACACATATTATAGTCTAGGATCTGTCAATCCTACTTGAGGCTTCTCGAGCAATAGAAACAAAAGGAAAGGGTAAATATTGGTCCTTAATTTTCTTTGAGTAATCATAATAGGAAAAGAGTTACAAAGTATACTAAAATAATGGAATCTAAGAGTAGTGACGGAATCCCATTAATAATTAACCATTTTGATCCCTTGAAACAACTAGATGAATTTAGTAGTTCAAGAGTGAATTTGTGTTGATCGTGATAATCAAACCATAAAGATTTCAAGCCCCAAGAAGTAGTGTAAGTGACCCAAATTTTTGACTTTAAATTCATCATCAAGAAACACCTTTTAACTGAGTGATGCTGGCAGTTAATGATATCATCAACATATATGGCTATGATTGTAATAAGATCACCAGAATTTTTATAAAAAAGAGAATAGTCATTTAGGGAAGAAATAAATCCTTTGAATTGTAAAGCAACTGATAGTCTAGCAAATCATTGTCTAGAGGCTTGCCTAAACCCAAAGTACATCCTAGATGTGACATGGTAAATAGAATTTTGAGAGGTCCTAAACAAGCCACTTGACATGAGTAATGACGTAAGGTAAAGATATACCATATGAAATCAACAATAAAGCTAAAGAAACCTAAATCATAATATCTCAATACTTAATACAAAACTTAAAATGCATGCGGAAGCTAGACTTAAGCTATACTAAAGTCTGACATAAGCTTTTACTACATAGATGGGTCTTTAGAACCAAGCTTAATTCTGATGATTCTATTAATAAATACAAGGCTAAGCTTGTTGTCAAGGAATATGTACATTTATTAGGTGTTAATTATTCGAACACCTTTCCTTTAGTAGCCCAATTGAATACCATTTAGATTATTGCTAGTAATTACAATATAAAAGGGCTAAAAAGTGTTTTAACTATATGTGAAATCTGCTTTTTGAATGGTGTACTATTGGAAGAAGCTTACGTAAAATAGCACAAAGATTTTGTTAAGCAAGGAAAAGAAAAAATTATTTCCGCTTATAAAAGCTTTTATGGCTTAAAACAAGTTCCAAGAGTTGATTTAGCAGAATTGATGATCTCTTGTTGAGTTTCGGATTTGTACAAAGTGTATCTGAAGGCACTCTTTATGTCAAGAATAAATTAAAGGAACTGATTTTCTCAGTATTTATCTTTTATGTTGATGATTTCTTGATGATATATAGAAGATACAATGTGTTGTTGATTGAAGAGTCTAATTAAGAAAAAATGTAATTAAGAAAAAAATGGTGCAGGTCTTTGAGATAACAAATCCTTGTACTAATAACATACTTTCTGTAAAAGAAAATCAAGCAAAGTTGTGATGGTGAAATTTTGATCTGCCAAAAAATTATGCAAATTCAAGGCAACAAGCGTATCATTACAAAGTCGGATATTCTATTTGTGGCAAGTGGCCTTTATTTAGATTTGGCATTTTGCAACTGAAATGCATTTCAGCAACAAAAAAAAATTATAAGCTACATTAAAGGTATTGTCCAATATGGTGTCAAACAAGTGTGAGAGTGAGAATTTTCATACAGTGATTGGACTGAATCCAATATTGATTCAGTCTGAAATGAAGAATTGTGTTTGTCGCAGAAAACAATGGCACATTTTTTCAAAAGGGATGGACCTAGCATGTATGAAAATAAAAGACCCTTGTCACGAAGGCCAAAAAACGCAAAAGAAACTTTATTTTTATTATATAACGAAGAGAAGAGAAGCGATATGGAACAGCAAGTGCAAGTGGCCTGGCAGGATCCAAATCCAAATATAACTCTGCTGCAAATTTCTTCTTCTTTACATAGTGTAAAAGGATATTTAATTTAAACGTTGGTGAAGCGGAGGTAAGACTTGCCAGATGGAAGATTGGCAGTGTCAAAACCCTGTGGAAACATCTCCTTTGCTTCTTCATTGGAGACACTGGGTGCTATTACCACCGGCTCTCCCGGTTTCCAGTTTGCTGGGGTTGCAACTTTGTACTTTGCCGCTTTCTGCAGTGATTCTACCACCCTCAACACTTCATCCATGTTTCTTCCAGTGCTTGCTGGGTACAGAAAGCTCAGCTTTATCTACACACATATTTATAATTAGTTTTAACTACTTTTAATCATTTCAACCCGCCAAATAGCGCCTTTTGAACTGACCAATAATTAGAGTTCAATCCAACCGGCCTTTCAAATAACTTTATACCTTCTTGTCAGGGCCTACGATGTGAAGGGCACGAGAAGGAAGCTTATGGCCAGAGGAATCTGTCTCATCAGGATCCACCATGTTGAGTTGCTTAATCAATTCTCTCTTGGGATCAGCAATGATTGGGTATGTCACTTTTTGTCCCTTCTGTCAAATATTTTTAATTAAAAAAAAGCTGCTTGCTACTAGTAAGGAAGAAAACTGTAGTATACTAATTAATACCATGTATAATTAACAGTGTACTGTACGTACGTTATAAGCTTCAATATCCTTGATCCATTCATTGTGAGACTGAACATCATCACAAGAAAGTCCCACAAGTTTAACTCCTCTCTCACCGAACTTGCTAGCATAAGCAGCCATCATAGCCAACTCCGTCGTGCATACTGGCGTGAAATCACCTGCATGCATCCAACACACCACATTATCATGACTGCCCAACGCGGATATATACATGGAAAACGACTTAAACAAAATGTATAGAGTCATAGATAAATAATATGGATAAATATGAATAGGGATCTTGTTTTCAAAAAAACAATATCTTTTGTGGAGAAGGGGTAGAGGGGGACCATTATCCACCGAACCGAATTTGGAAGGCTATGATTGGTCCAAAGAGCGGATCACAGACGGATTTCTCGGTTATTCAAAATATATATATATATAATTTACCCCCTCCACAATAAAAAATAAAACTTTTTCGAAATTTATTTTTTACTACTCCAAAAAATGTAAAATTAAATTAAATTTCTGTTTTATAAAAAGAAAATATTTTTTCATCCCCATCCCTTCCAGCCCCCCTCCCCTAGCCCCTTCCCAAAAAAAAAATTAATTTATTTTTTAAAAATTCTAGATTTTTTTTTCTTACCCCACCTCACTCATCCTACCAGGGGCAGGTCTAGGAAGGTCCAGGGGTGTCACGGAACACGACTTCGTTGGAAAAATTTGCTAAATATTTAATATTTAATTAAAAACAGAAAAATAACAAAGATATATAATATAAAGTGTTAAATATTTATACGAGACTGTGTGCGTCTCAAATGGTCAGGTGTTGAAATCCCTCAGTAAGGGACCTGAGTTCGAATCCCCAAGAATCAAAAAGCAAGTGCAAAAATTAGTAATAACCCCAGTAGAGATTGGTACGATGAAATTCAACATTTTGTTCGCTATTAAAGTAAAAAGAAATATATTTTAGGAGCTTCAAGTTGTTTGATTTGTTTTCTTTCTCTTTCGTTTCTCTCTTCTTCTTTTGCTTTTTATTTTTTCTTCTCTTGATATTTTATATATATAAAAAATATTTAACACTATTATTTTCAAAATGAAAATTTAAGTCAATATATTTTTTTATTTTACTTTTTGAAAAAAGAGATATAATAGTTAAAAGGTGACACAGCTTGAAAAAAAATTCAAATTTATGCGTACGCCACTGATCCTACCGCAACCACCTAGCTCCATTCTTTTATGAATAGAAAATAAAAAATAACTTTCAAAATTTAAAGGGTGTAACATAACACATAAATTTTAAAATAAGAAAGTAATAATATGTCATATCACCATCAAGGAGAGGTTATAAAATGAAGAAGAGTGGAAGTAACTTATTTTAATCATTCATATTGGTATAAAAAGTATTATAGGTAGTGCAGAAAAATTAAAGTAAATTAACCTGGATGAGAAAATAGAATAGTGTAGCTATCACCAACATAGTCATGGAGTTTCATCTTTCCATGATTTGTTTCTACTTGAAGATTAGGAAGGTCATCTCCAATAGTAAGGCCTGGCATTTGTTTTTTCTCTTTTCAACTCAAAATATTTTCTGTGTGGAAAATGGTAAGAGGAGAAGTGGGATTAAAAGGATGTTGAAACATTGTTGCATGAAGAGAACGTGGCTTCTGCAATTTGCCACTTCATTCTCCTGCTTCCACGTATGTCCAATTTTGTATCTTCTAACTTACCTACAATATTTGAATACGAAAAATTCAACTTATAACATACAACACCTACCTGTTACCACTTTATATTGTATCTTTTCGATCCAATTTTTTTTACAAACGCGTCACTATTCCTTTCGGATACAATCCTATCCCTCTAGGATACATCTCTATCCTCTCTGATATATTCCTTCCCTATCTATTCTATCAATATAATTCAACGTCTATTGACACTCAATTTTGACCTAACATTTTCAAAATTTGTAACTTTTAAGTTTTATTTATTCAATAGTTTAAAATACATTTTTTATAATTTTAAATAAGTTTATCGATATTTATCCTTATTTGTCAAAATTTTAGGATTTTTTTATCAGTTAATTTTAATTACATTATTTTTGTCACAGCCAGTTGACTACATTCAAACATTTGTTCATTTTGATTAAATCATTATTTCTGTTAAGTTACATTTTTTTACATGTCATTGGTTACGTTCATTATATTTTTTAATATTCATTTTATTCGTTAAATTTGTTAATATTCATTTTGACATTTTGCACAGTTTAGAAATTCATTCAAATATGGATAAGATTTCATACATAGATATTTTATTAACTGATGGTTTTGGCTCACGATTTTAAGATAGTGATATTGTACTAAGACGATTTTTAATTTTCTATATAAAGAATTTCTTGGTCATTAAGTTAGTGTGGTGGATAATTATTAAATTTGCGGAGTGTAATTTTTAGATTTTTAATTTTCTAAATATCTTTTATTTGTTCTGCCTTTTCCGGCAAGTTCATCGGAGCTTTGGTAAATGACCAAAGTTCCTGTCCACCACCATCACAATAGCTCCCCGTCGTCGCCTTAGATTTTTCTTCAGGTGAAATCCACTGGAACAACCTATTCGGCCATTCATTCCAGATCAGCGACCAGTTCAACACCAACATCCATCTCCTTCCTCTCTTCCTCCACGTCGGAACCCGGCGAATCCACCACCAAAATCTCTTGTTTTCCTCCTTTTCCAGTGAAATAGTCACCGAAAACAGCTCAACAACCACCACCAAACCAAACCCAAAACCCCAAAGCTAATCTTCTTCTTTCTCCGGCAAACAGCAGACCAAAACGACCCCATTTTTCTATGTTTTCCGACCAACAACAACCAACAAACCAGAAACAACCCACCACGGCGAGCTTCAAGCTCCGGTGAACACCAAGAACCAGCGAAACACCAGTGTTAAACTCTATCATCTTCATCATATGAATCAGTTAGTTGGGAGGAAAAATAGTAAAGCTAGAGAGAACAAAATGAGAAACTGATTGATTATATTACCAACTAACCCTCTTTCACATATAATGAGGTCCTATTTATATACAGTCCAGATTCATAATTGCCTAACAATTTTTATATAACTAACTGTAGTTACTAGAACTAACTATGATTAGTTAAGTTAACTGGCTGAGCTAGACTTGGCTGCTAGTGAGCTCCACACTATATTCTTAGCTCAACACCCTCCCTCAAGCTGATGGTTGAAATATATCTTTCAAGCTCCGCTTGGACATCAAGTAGTCATGTTGTTGCCTTCCTAAGCTTTTGGTGAGTAAGTCTGCTTGTTGTTCTTTTGTAGAAATATGATGAGTTTGTACCATGCCTTGCACAATTTTCTCACGCACGAAGTGACAATCAATGTCAATGTGTTTAGTTCTCTCATGAAAGATAGGATTGGCAGCAATTTGGATTGTTGCCTTACTGTCACAATAAAGATGTATTGGAACCTCAATCTCTATGCCAAATTCTTTGTATAATCCAACTAGCAATGTCAATTCTGCCACTACAGATGCCATGCTCCTGAACTTTGCTTCAACTGAGCTTCTTGCAACTGTCTCTTGTTTCTTAGATTTCCATGAGATCACTGCATCTCCAAACTTGACTAAGTAGCATGTGACTGACCTCCTTGTTTGCAAACATCCACCCCAGTCAGAGTCACAAAATGCCTCAAGCTTGCATGAGTTGTTTGTAGGCATGAGCAGACCAAGTCCAGGTGCTCCTTTTATATACTTGACAACTCTTAAGGCAGCCTCCATGTGTGGCTGTTTGGGCTTATGCATAAACTGACTTAACACTTGTACCACATAGGCAATATCAATCCTTGTCATAGTTAAGTAGAGTAATCTGCCTACTAGCCTTTGATATTGACCAGGATCAGTGAGCAGTTTATCACCTTCTTCAGTGGATTCAGTATTAATGAATGAATCATAATTAACAGATGTGAGTTTCAGATTTGTTTCTAATGGTGTAGTGAATGGTTTTGTGCCACTTAATCCCATCTCAGCCACCAGTTCTAAAGAATATTTTCTCTGACTCATAACAATACCTTTCTTGGATCTTGCAAATTCAATTCCTAGAAAGAACTTCAGTTCTCCTAGATCCTTCATCTTAGATTTCAACTTAAGATCATTCATTGTCTGTAGAATCAGTTGTGCACTACTTCCAGTCACTAGCAGATCATCTACATATACCAGGACAATCACTATATTTCCTGTAACTACTTTAGTGAATAAGGAGTAGTCAAAGTGACTTTGAGAGAATCCAACTTGAACTAAGGCATTCGTCAGCTTCTTATTCCTTTGTCTAGAAGCTTGTTTGAGCCCATATAGTGACTTATGGAGTTTGCAGACATAATGTTTCTTTCCATGGCTGGAAAATCTAGAAGGAACCTCCATGTACACCTCTTCCACCAAATCACCTTGGAGGAATGCATTGTTAACATCCATCTGGAAGATAGGCCACTATTTGGCTGCAGCTATAAACACAACAGACCTAACTATAACCATTTTGGAGTCTCAGTATAGTCTAATCCCTCTTGCTGGCTAAAGCCCTTGGCAACCAATCTGGTCTTATATCTTTCCATAGCACCTGAGGCAGTATACTTGACCTTGAAGATCCATTTATAACCTATGGCATGCTTACCAGGGGTAAAGGGACTATGCTCCAAGTAGTATTGTCCTCCAGAGCCTGAACTTCTACTTTCATGGCATCAATCCACTTGGGGTCCTGAACAACTTCTTTGTAGCTAGTTGGCTCTACAATAGTAGAGTAGGAAGATAAGGCAGTGCTGAAAAAAGTGATAATTGATCATACCCTATGACCTGAGATAGAGGATAACAGCAATTAGCATTTCCCTGGTCTTTAAGGATATAGTCACTCAACCACACAGGAGGTTTGTGAGTCCTGGAAGATCTTCTCACTTCATTGGTGGACACAGAAGGAGCCTGAGATGGAGAAGCTGCGACCATAGGTGAAGCTGGAGTATGGACAATATCAACATGAGGAGTTGATGGACAGTTGATAGAGCTGGTAGCGTTGTAGAGACATGGGCATCAGTAGTGGTAAAAAAAGAATTATCCAACACAGGGAACAAAGGAGGCACTGTGGCAGGCCAATGATGAAATGGGAATACCTCTACCTTAAATATGGAATCCCTACTAACACAGAAGACCTTGGTGCTGAAATCATACATGATATAGCCCTTTTGAGTAGGGAAGTAACCAAGGAAAACATCAGGACTTGCCCTTGGGGAGAACTTGTCTACTTTTCTGACATGAGTAACATAGCCTAAGCAGCCAAACACTCTCATGTGATCCAATGAAGGAGTATCATTGTGCAAAGCTTCAAATAGAGAGATACCCTGAAGTACTGAAGAAGGCAGCCTGTTGATTATGTAAGTAGTTATGGTAACACACCCCCTAAAACTTAAGACGGGCCATAGCTTGAAATCTGAGTGCTCTGGCAACCTCCAAAATATGTTTATGCCTCATCTCAGCCACACCATTCTGTTGAGGGGTGAAGACACACAAACTTTGATGGATAACCCCTAAGGAGTTCAATAATGCATTCATAGAGGAGTTAAAGAATTCACAACCATTATCAGTCCTAAAGTACTTCAAAGATGAATTATAAACATTTTTTACCATAAAAAAGAAAGAAGAAATTGCAACAATGACATTTGCTTTAGTAGGTAAAAGAAAAATCCACATATATCTGGAATGATCATCAACAAGAGTTAAGAAATATCTTTTACCATTATAGGTAGGTACCCTATCTGGTCCCCAAACATCACCATGTATTATATGAAAACTAGTAGTAGACTTAGAAGTGCTTAAAGGAAAAGGAGTTCTGGTCTGTTTAGCTAGTGGACAGACACTACAATTAGAGATAGAATCACATTGCAAGGATTTGCAAACAACTATTTTCTTCATAACCCCAGATGGTACATGCCCAAGCCTTCAATGACATAGAGAGGCATTTATTGAAGTGGTGGGAATAGTTCTTGTAGTAGTTACTTGTCCTGAAATATACTTGGCATCTACACCAAATTTGTTCATCAGCATGAGTAGTAGTAGATTGTGGCACATGTTTCATAGCAGTAAAGATGTGCAGTCCATTCCTTTCTCTACCAATCCCCTTCACCTAACCACTGAAGGGGTCCTAAAAAATACAAAAGTCAGGATAAAAGAGCACTGCCCACTGTAGTTCTTTGGTGAGTTTGGAGACAGACAATAGATTATATTTAAACTCTGGAATATATAACACATTTGTGATATGTTTAGTATGAGGGAGAATAAGTGATGAGCCTATATGGTGTACAATGGTTGGCACTCCTGTAGGTAAATGTACCTTATTCTCACTACAATGAGAGACACTTCTAGGGGCAGTTAACATACTCAAGGACTTGACCATATGATTGGAAGCACCTGAATCTACAATCCAGTGGAATTCCTCCTCAGTCATACCTGATGCCATAGTTGAGTGGTTGTCCTCAGGCTCTGAGTCAAGTAGTTGTAAAAAAAATTTGTATT